GCCGGCTCACCTGCCCCCCCGCCACTGCCTGCCGGCTCGTCTCCTCAGCCCCCCACCCCTCCAGCTTGCCTACTCACCCCCCGCGGCCGCAGAGTGAGCCCACGCGGGCCGCATGCGGCCCCCAGGCCGCATGTTGTGCAGGCCTGCTTTAGAAACTGATGAACTAACTGCGTTAGCTGGAGCTGTCGGCCCCCCGCCTTCTGAGAATTTCAATGGGTTTATGGCCTGACTACATAAATGCTCGCAGTTGGTAAAAGCAGTGGGAATTGACATGTTACAGGAACCAATTCTAGTCCAAATCCTGTTGGGACCGCTGATGGTTTTGATGATGACAGTGACGCAAATGGTTAAACTGTGTGGCTCGAAAGCATTTTAAGTTATCCAGTGGATTAGCTGCACTTAAAGGAATTACAGGAATGCCAGGAGAGGCTCCGGCCAAGCTGGCTGACAAAGACACCCGTAGGTTAGGTTAACAGCGGGGGACACTGAGCTGAGCTCAAGGATTTGAAGCGACTTGTTCTGTAAGCGCTGCCTTCTGCGGTGCGAATGGGTGAAGGCTTGGGGGGAGAATGGAGGCAGAGACGTACCTTGGAATGAATGGATTGAAAAAATGCAGACTGCGGTTAAAGAACAGGAGGAAACTCCCGCCAATGAGCTATGAACAGAGTTAGGACGGTGGAAAACCGAGGGTCCTGGACAGCTCCCATGGCCGTGGCCGGGGTTGGAGACGTCGTGGAATGAACAGAGGTAGAGGAGTAAACAGAGAGAGCGGGAACAGGTGTCGCCTGAAACGCTGAAACAGGAGAATCTAATCTCAAAGGAGAGAATGAGACGCTGGGGGCGCAGCTACCGGCATGTCTGATTGCCAAGGAGTCTCAGAAGGGGGAAGAAAAGGCGGTGATGAAGGTGGCCAAAGCGACTGTTTGACCCAATTGCTAGTAATTCAGAAGCATAGGCCAGCCCTCCCTGCAACTCGGAATGCATTTTCCATGACAATAGATGTCTGGGGGCGCCCCCATTTAAGCATCCGAGTCGGGAATGGGCTTGCAGATTTTCTGTTGGACACGGGGGTTGGAATTCCTATAGTAAAAGATGTATTTAATGTATATCCAGTTGTGGACTCCGTACAAATACGGGGCATATCAGGAACTAAGCAAACATATGATGTTAAAACCCTCCCTCTCCAGTTTGCTGTACTTACCTTCAGGAGAAGCGTGCTATTGCAGGGAGAGAAAATCTAATCGGGGAAGAAACTATCGGACGATTGGGAATAATCCTGGATTTCCCAAACATGTATATCAGACAAACTCTCGCTGTAACGGGAGAAACAAACGACGCTGATCCAATGGGACTTGCTACTCAGACGGTGAAAGCAATAAAGATTAAACGGCCACCTCCTGTGCGAGAAGGTTGGGAAGGCTGGTGGGCTGAGATTCAAACCGTCTAGGCAGTGGACTCCCTAGATATGGGAAAAATACAAACCTCTGTTACATTAGAAGGAGACACACACCCATACATCGAACAATACCCAATACCTCAGGAAGCAAAAGAATCTTTAAGTTATAGAAGAACTGGAAAAACGAAAATTAATTCAAAGGTGTTCAGTGCCTAACGCGGCACCAATCTGGCCAGTAAAAAAACCCATGATGGAACATGGAGATTAACGATTGACTGTCGGGGGTTAAACAGAACTGCCAAGCGGGGGGCACCGTAGTGGCTGCTTACCCAGCATTGTTGGAGGTGGTAACTCCTGACATGAAGTGGTTCTCAGTACTTGACTTGGCAAATGGCTTTTGAAGTTTATCTTTAAACCCAGAGTCCCAGTACAGAACATCTGTTGTATTCCAGGGTATGCAATATTGCTGGAATGTTTTGCCTATGGGGTACTGTGACGCACCTGTAATATTTCATACTGTAGCGAGAAACATGCTAGAGAAGGAGGGACTGTTACAAATGGGAAGGATAGGCCAGTACGCAGATGACATTTTAATAGTCAGTGAAACAGAGCAGGTACAAGAAGCGTTAATGCGGCAGTTATTGACTAGCTGCCAAGCGTACGGCTTGAAACTTAACCCGACTAAATCCCAGATGAAACAGAGAGACGTGCAATATCTTGGAATTCCACTCAGTGCAGGGGGAAAGTCTGTGGATAAGGAAAGGGTGAAGTGTATTGTTAACCTCCCTATGCCGGTAGATACTAAATCTTTGCAGTCTTTTTTGGGGCTCACCAACTTCTGCAGAGAATTCATGGCTGGGTTCGCAGAGAAGGCAGGTCCCCTGTACGAGGTACTTAAAAGACCATAGTGGGTCTGGACAGAGGAGGCAACTAATACACGGGAAAGCCTGAAAAAAGGGTTAATGGAGGCACCTACCTTGGCCGCCCCTAACAACGAATTCCCCTTTTGTACCCTAGTGTGAAGAATGTCTGTATTGTTAGTGCGCTTACACAGGGTGCTGGTGCTGGGGCGAGACCCATTGCTTATTATAGCAGAGCATTGACACGTCCAGAAAGCAAACTGGGAATTTGTGAGCAAACTGCTCTCGCTGCCGACTGGACACTACAAAAAGCTCAGGCAATTATCAGAGCAAGCGAGGTAAAGAGGCACCAGGCGCTGGGAAAATTACTCAGTCAGGAAAATCTGTCTAACGGACGTGTGAGAGTAGATACGGCCATTTAATGGGTCTTTGCTCTCATGTCCGAGAACGTTCAATTAGTCCCAGTAAAAAACCCTGAAATATCTGGATGGGGATTGACTGTGAGCGGTCGAGAACTTGTCTGTGAGCCCCAACGGGAATCCAGAGCACACCCTGTCTTTAAAGTAACCCCAATTGACCAGGTGATCGGAAAAACCATTTGGTTTGTGGACGGCAGCTCATATTACACCGAAGGAAAACGAGTCACTGGCTTTTCAGGGATCTGTTTAACTGGAAACCTGCAAGGAGTTAGCTTCTTCCAGTACAAATTGAGCAAAGGGGGAACACAGTCTGCAGAAGTGTCAGCGGTCTTGGAAGTTTTAGCTGGAATGAAGAACAAGCAAACGGAGCTGATAATAGGAACTGATTCAGATTATGTTTACAAGGGAACCATCCTCTACCTACCGTGGTGGAATAGTGTGGGTTTTACAGGAACTGACCTTATGGCAGCAAATAGAGAAATTGTCAGAGCAGTATCAGAGGATCCGGCTGGTTAAAATAAAAGCCCATAAGAGGACGGGTCAGTTGAAAAAGCGAAACGAACAAGCCGATAAATTGGCTAAGGAAGCAGCACTCACTGGTGTGACGAAGTGGGGGATTGTCTTGTGTTTCCTTGGTTTTCCAATGGGTTGCATGCAGAGGGGGTGGGACTCAGTGTCCCTGGGCGTTGCTGGTTTAACGAGGTGAGGGGAGAGGGAGTTTGTGGTTACAGAGGACCGGAGAGGGAACTTGGGACACCAGCCGATGGCCTGGAGGAGGGACACCTCAGCAACTGGTGACCTGGGGACCCGCAGGCCCAGCTCAGAAGTCACAGCCGGTTCTGGCTTGTGGGAGGTCAATGGGCTGCGGCGAGGGGACCCCGGTGACCTGACCAGCCGGTTCCAGCCAGAGGGGGCCAGAGGACAGAAGAGAGGAGATGAGGCCCAGGCGTCCTGGTTTACGACCCTATTTACCTGGAGAGAAGACAATGGACAGAGGCGGGGCTTGGGGGAGGTGATCTCAGATATCCAGCTGGGAA